ACATGCATACATACATACATACATACATACATACATACATACATACATACATACATACATACATACATACATACATACATACATACATACATACATACATACATACATACATACATACATGCATACATGCATACATACATACATACATACATACATACATACATACATGCATACATACATACATACATACATACATACATACATACATACATGCATACATACATACATACATACATACATACATACATACATACATACATACATACATACATACATACATACATACATACATACATACATACATACATACATACATACATACATACATACATACATACATACATACATACATACATACACACAAAATGAGATTTCTGACACTTCTCATAATATACTTTTAATCGAGATTGTGAACCGTTTTTCAGTGATTTACTTGTACACCTTGTTTGAAAGTTTCTATTTAACCACCTATAATATGGTGGATAATTCCCTTTTGAAAGTAGAGGAAGAAACCAAGAGAAATGGTTAACAAGGGTGTTAAATTAAGTTAAATTTTCTCCTGATGGAAGTAAAGATTCTCATCCCGTAGAATTCTGTGTTTCCTGGCAAATATGCGTGCGTGTGTGTGTGAAAGGGAGAGAGAGAGGAAAGCAAATAGCAAAAGAAATTACGAGATTTTAGTGCTTTTTTGTTACTGACTTTTTCAATTAAAATATCTTTGTATATTTTGATTTGAAAGCGTAAAATTGATTTGGGAAAAATGCTCAATCGTATTACCATTGAACACGTTTCTAACTCGTGTTCAGAAAAATGGAGGAGGAGGAGGGGTTGGAGATAGAGAAAAAGAAAGAGCTTTTGGCTTCTGTAGGCTTGTTTCTGGACAAAAACAATTGTTTCCTCGGGTAACAGAAGTAAATGTGCATAGATGAATGTCTCCGTATGTGTGTGTATTTGACTACTTGTTTTGTAGTATTGCGCATAAATATAGTGATTGCGATGACTTTGAGTCTTACGTGGTTAGTTATTCTTTTCAGTAAACAGAATAAACATAGAGTTCTCGTCTCTTCGAGACATTTTCCAGCTCTTGCTTCTATCACAGCATTCGAGGCTGCTTCTTATGTCTGATATGGTACATTTTGATACCTGATAATATCTTTGAAACTGTACTGTATGAAAAGGAAATAAAGTGGTTTGGGGTTGTTCACATAAAAAGCTGATGGTATATTTTCTCTTCCAAACCGCCTTTACTTACACACACTACGGAAGTGGTGTTATTTTTCTTAGTGTTTACTGGAAACAAGAGTCATAGTTTGAGATCACTAGCAGTTCGAACATTCTTTTATCTATCTTTTGGTTGTTCACTGCCAATTCATACACGCAAACTTATCAAGGTTGAAAATAATTTTCATCACAGATTGATAATCTGTTGGAGTGCCATTGAAAACCTGAAAATCCTCATTGGTTGTGTTATTCTCTTTTGAAATTCCGTAGCTGCATGTTTCCTATGACCGCTCATGACAGATGATACTCAGGACTATCAGTTCTCACAGTGAGCACATCACTGTTACCATTGTTAACTTATGATGAAACCTATTTGGGAGATCAATCAATCTCCATAAACTGTGTTTATAAAAACTGAATACCGATTACGATATCATCTCACTTATGAATGAAAAGTGTTTTTGTGTAATTACTAAACTTTTTTCTACGTGGTACTATGACAAATATTTTTACTAGTACATGTGTGGAAGAAGTATGCAGATGAGAGGTCCTGACACTAGTTAGATAGAATTGCAAAAAAATGCCTTGATTCTATCCTCTTAGGCGTACCTCACACCTCACAAGGAGACGAATTTTGAAATCATAATAACACACTGAAGTTAACAAGTTAGTTCTAGAAATTGTGTATGTATGTGTGGTAAATGAATCTAGTTTCCAGATTATGCGCAGAATTCTGAATGGATTCATGCACAAATTAAAAAATCTAAAAAATGCGTCAGAATGAGAATCTATTAGTTATACAAAACAGAAATAAATGACTAGTAGAATATTCAAAGCATTCAATCGAATGGTAAGTGAAACTGCATAGTCTTTGAGTTCAACTTGATCTGAAGGTTTATCAGATGCCCAAATTCCTTTTCAGGGAATTATATCAATATTTCATAGACTACTAGATGCTGAAGGTATTAGGAATCTACATTCAACTTGAATACATCAGTGGAAACTCCATTAAATCTCTGTAATAAAGTCCTTAATTGAAATATTAGTTTGTTGATCCGCAGTATTCATTTGCAGTAGTTGACAGTAACATAAATGTCCAGTCCATTGTTGTGGTGAACGTTCTGAAAGGATTTGAGAGACAAGTTTGATTTAATCATTTTAAAAGTAAGTTGTAATGTGATCTCAGCGTGTTTACAAAATCGAATGACAATTTTTCTGAAAGTTTTTCTGTGTATACCACAGTCTTCATCAGTGTCAACATAGGACTAGGTACTGCTGTGTTACGGTCTAAGTTGTCACACCTTATATCAGTTCATCAAGCAACAAACGCTAAGATGAAGGTTAAAGATATACAGAAGAATCGGTCAAAGGGAGTAATGCCGATTAAAGAGGTAATGTGCTGATACATCTGCGCCACCGAAACTGACTGGGTTTCATGTCATCTTGAGTCTGCAACTACTGGTCTGTGTCGTTCCCTACATGGCTGAGACTAATAGTCAAGGACTTCCTGCAGTGATACCACGGTTCAGTCTGGCTGCCTTGAGCCTTTTTCTAGCCTAGACCCACTTAACTTTGCACAAAAGAGCAGATAGTCACTAGAAATGCATAGCACTTCCTAATTATCTAAGTGTATGAGAGTTACCCATCTCATCAACTGCTTTACTTATTTTGTCCATTAATTTCTGCCTATCTTCTATATGAATGGTGTGGGGACACCACGACAAACTGTCTGCACTACGAAGGCAACGGTGTTGGAACATCTAAAGCTTTCTCATATTATGTGTCTTTGAGCGCCATGTTTTACAGCCATACCGTAGGACACAACGAGCTGCAGCACAGAACACTCGACCCTTAATAAGCAATCGGATATCACGGCGGCGCCACAAGTGGCGTAGTTTGACGAAAGCTAAGCGAGCTTCTTATATCCGCACGAAGACCTCATCGGCCTCTAACCTGCGAGGACTCATCCAACTACCCAGGTAAGTGAAGTGGTCAACACACTCAACCACTTCACTCTCCATTGTTAGACAAGGCATAGTTGAGGACCAGTCCTAGAGCAACAATTTGAACTTGGATGGCGAAAAAAGTATCCAAACTATTCTCAAATTGTCACTCAATGTGTTCGGAAGACTGACAGAGCCATGTCATCTGCGTATTATAGATCTACCGAGGATCCTCCTTTGATAAGATCAGTCGCTGTGAAGTCAGACGACTAGACTGATACCTCCATAAGTATGTCTGCTGGGAAGTTGAATAAGAATGGAGAGAGTGGACATCCTTGATGGATACCACTCGACGCACATATTCACCTGGTAACTCGCCATAGGCTCTAACAAGCTTACAGTTGTTCGAGTACGGAGCCTTCAATAGAGTAATGTACTTATTTGGTACCCGTTTCAGTAAGAGACTTTTCCATAATACCTCTTGATCGACTGAGTCGAATGGTGTAGTATTAGTTCGGCGTCTTTCAAATGTCCGTTGTATAATTAATAACCGTGAAATGTCTTCTTGATGTTTATATAATCATTGGTTCATGACTTTCGGGGTAAACTGCACTCTGTACAATCATGACCGTATTCATAATACCACCAAATGAATCACGTTATGTTTCGATTTGATTTCGACTGAAAGTATCGTTTATGAGGAGTATGCTCACGGTCGTCATGTTTGATATGCTTTCTGAACAGTCTGCTGTCCTCATAGTAAAATTATTTTGGTTCATGTATGTATGTATCACTAGAGTCATAGAACAAGTTTGATATGTATAAGTTTATGTGCCTATGGAAACTTGTAAAGCTAATATCATTTATTCATCTAACTTTGTTTTGTATATCCAAAATACACACACGTAAATATACACAAGGGACAAAATAATCTGACCGTTTAATAAACTACCTCTTCCCCTGAAGGCATTGTGTATTAAATGAGTCTTTTCTATGTCTGAGAATGATTAAATAAATTTTGTTGTTTATTTGATTATACGTGACTGTGTGTGTGTATATATGTGTGTGAAGAAGCGAACGAAGCAGCAGCCTAGGATAACTGATTTCTTGTATTCTGTGCTGAAAAAGAACAACTATCGACAGATTACCTGTATAGCAAATATCTACAATGATTTGTCGCAAGGTTTTTTGTTAACTGGCTAAATGAAATTATTTTATCCACATATAGTAACACTGATGTGTTAGGGATTCTTATACCCCTTGTATTCCACATTTGTATACATATAAATATGAACTGTTTTCTTCGCGCTGTTTTTCCTACACAGGTCACATATCATATAACCGCCTAGCGTTCTGATTGGCTCCTACCTTTTTAAATGTGCCAATTATTACTTGTCTTTCAAGGTCACGGTTAGTCTTGGTTTCGCTTTGCGAATCACTCGGGTTGAATCGTCTCAATCCTCGACTATCGTTCTCACAACTCAGCATCGTAACAGTAGCCTGTAATAATATAATTTGAAGTCACTCATCGATTACATCATATCTGAGTTCTTTTATAATCTTTGAATCGATCTAAAAGTAATCTAAACATTGAGTGGTTTTAAGCGATAGTTCAGTGTGCAAATAATACAATTCGTTAACTTATGTTGGTATTTATTTCCATGTCAAAGTAACAATTTATTGCATTGTATTCTTGACAAAATGGTTTCAACCCAAGAACTTACCATTTATTTATCACAGTTGTGCGAGTGAAACATTATTCGACTATGATACATCTCATATCACATTGTGTGCTTTTAAAATAGTTCCTAAACTGTACAGATACTTACAGTATATCTTTTTCTTACAAGTCGGTTGGTCAGATTTGAGTGATGCGGGCGGTATCACTACGTAGGCTGAGAAGAAAACCAAACATTGTCTACAAAATAAACAGCAGAAACTATGAAAAACACTACGTCGGACCGAGTGGTTGCACTCTTCGTATCCGTCTATATGAACATCAACCAGCAGTTAAGCATCATGACATCGCCTATCGTATCAATTTATTATTATTATTATTTGTCCCTTGGGTTCCTAGTGGAACATACGGCTTCAGTAGCACGTCACCATTTCACTCTGTTCTCTGCAGTCTTTTCAACGTGGCTCCACGACCCCCCAGAAGCTTTCATTTCTTCCTTACATGATCTCCTCCATGTCACCCTTAGCTGGGACGCCCAACTCGTCGTTTCCCCTTTGGATTCCACTTGAGGGCTTGGCCTAAAATGTGATGTCTCCGAATGGTCTTCTCAGCGTACGCCCAATCCATCTCCAGTTTCTTCTAGATAGTTGTTGGGTGATGGGTTCTTGGTTGGTTCGTTGCCAGGTCAGAGTTCCTTGTTGCTTATTCTTATTATTCTGGCCATATAATCTCCATCTTCAGTGTCAGTATCTAGTTAGTGTAGGCAACTGTTGATGATGTATGTCTACAGTTTGTTGAAAATGCTTCTCGTAACGCTCCAAGTTTCCGAATCATATAGAAGCACTGATTTGACGTTGGTGCTGAAAATCCGGATCTCGCCCTTTATGCTGAGTGGAGTACAGTAGATCTCTACATTGATTTCAGATTAATGCAGGAAGGCCTGTCTTGCTGTATTTCCCAACCTGACTTTCACGTCCTCATCTGTACCTGCGCCGCCGCCCACAGTTGAAACGATGCTGTCTAGGTAGGTGGAAGAGATTACTTCTTTTAGATTTCCCCCGTTCATGGTGTTTGTTGTTGGTTAAGTATCCTCATCACCTCTGTCTTCTCTGCGCTCATCTGAAGGAAGTGCCATCTTCGTTGCCCTGTCTCGCCTCGCCTCACCTCTTCTCCCAACTTCTTAGTTTTCGCCTGTAGATCTTCGAGTTTGTGCCACAAGACATTAGACATAAATCATCATTGTTGGAGAAATCCAAAGCTTCTCCTGAGGTCTTTTCATCGGTTCAGCTAGCCAGCCAGCCAGCTAGTCAGCGTATGCCCATCTTCTCACAGCTACTCACACTTCGCTGCATGATCCAGTCCAGTCGAATGCAGTCGACCACCATCAGGAAGGTTATCGGTGATAGTAGGTGGCAGCCTTGTCTCACTCCTGTCCCCTGTCTTCACTTCAAAGGCGTCAATGAGCTCAACTGTCCATTGTGAATCACTTGGCTGCCATGTAGCCTCATCATATGGCATATAGCTGCCGTTGAATGAGATTGATAGAGAATTGGGTCACTAAAACCGTAGTGTTGAAGCAGCAGCCACCAAATCACTTCTCGGTCGACGCCTTGATCGAAGGCCTTTTCAAAGTTGATGAAGTTGAACTGAAGATCCAGTTGACTGTTATTCATTCTATACTCTGTTCTATGATGATGTGTAGTGTAGCGTTGCAATTTGATCCCCACATGATTTGTTGTTCCTGAAGCCAGCCAGCCAGCCAGCCAGCCAGCCAGCCAGCCAGCCAGCCAGCCAGCCAGCCAGCCAGCCAGCCAGCCAGCCAGCCAGCCAGCCAGCCAGCCAGCCAGCCAGCCAGCCAGCCAGCCAGCCAGCCAGCCAGCCAGCCAGCCAGCCAGCCAGCCAGCCAGCCAGCCAGCTTGTTCCGGTTGTAATTTTGAATCCAGAGCACATTTCAGTCTTTCCAGAATGATGTGGCATAATATTTTGCTTGTTGTGGACAGGAGTGGAGCGTGATCCCACTCCCTTTCTTACAAAGACTTAGGTCTCTTTTCTTTGGAAGTTTGACAAGTTAGCCCTTCTTCCAATTAATAGGCAGCTACCTTCCCTTCCTTCTTTCCAAACCTTCTGTAGTAGTGGTGTGAGCATGTCCGCTGTCATATTATTGCATACGGACAACTATGAACATGAATTTGATTGGGAAAGTGTGGCAGTGCCTTATAGAGGAAATACAAAGTATGTCAGAGAAATTTTAGAAGCTTCGTATTCAGATCCGTCAGCTATAAACAAACATATAACATTGATCCAACCAATAAGAAGCAAAAGAAGGTCAAAATTCGTGTCAGTAACCAATCACACACAAGTCCACCAGGATTAGCTGCTAAGCTACTTGTGGAGGAAACGCCTTAGGTCACTTCTTTCTAAATTTTGCGTTGATGATATTGTATAGAATGACAACGAAAGCTTCACGATTAAACCTTCCAGCTCAGAGAACACAACACCATGAAAATCATCCACAGTCCTATCATCGAAATTGTTCGGCACACCACCAGATATTATGTTTAATACTGGGTATGCAAAAGACGATTGTACAGGTTCATAAAATATTACCGCTGAAAAAGAAATTTTTCTTCGCTGAATTATCTCCTCCTTTCTTTATGATAATTCATGTTTCAAGGTGATGGTATATCTCAGTTGTCTGTTGTCAATACTCCTGAGCACGTACACTTAAGACGTGACCTACTGAATACGTTCTTACAGTTATGGCCTTATTTCGCTGGGAGCTTAAGTAAAAATCTCGGTTTTGCATAATCTTTAGCTGTTCTCTTTTATTGGCTTACTGTGAAATGAGACTGACTGTTATCTGTTCATTTGATCTGGGTATATCGTCTTGTCTTGTGAAATTTGCACAAACCAGTATTCTACAGATTTTATTCAAAGAAGTTTCTGGTAATTATATTTTAAAGGACTTTACTATATTAATTGTAACCTAGTAAGTAGGCTGATTTTTTTTTCACTGCTTCAAGTTGTTCGATGGCATATTGCATATACTAACTACTTTGATTAAAACTCGTCCCGACCAATGAAGCGATAGTAACAATACAGCATCAATCCAATTTGGACGTTTACTCATTCATTTTCAAATGCATACAACTGTCATCAAATGTTTCATTTGGTGTCGCTGTGTCGTGTGTACCTTTATGTACACGTTCACAACAGATTGTAATGTCATATATATATGTGACGTGTCGTAACTTTAAATTACGATGCTGAGTCATTTGTCTGTATTATTTTTGAAAACTTGTTGCTAAGTTCATATATATATATATATATATATATATATATATATATATATATATATATATATATATATCTGTCATTATCGCCCTTCATCTTTTAGTGTATATATCAACAGACAGGTGAATAATGAAACAGGATGTACTTCTTCCGTTTCCTCATCTTAACGCCCTCCTCTTACCCTGAATTATGGATACAAGATGTACTTGTATGTGTGCGTGTGTGTGTGAGGGTGAGAGAAAAGTAAATAAGCAATAAGACAAACATTCCGAGATATTTTGGAAATCAGTTGACACTGGAGTTTATTCACCTGGAACGGGTGAGTTAATAGACGATACAAGGAATATACACAGAAATGCATTTACAATTTTTGTAACTAGTATCGTAATTTAGACTATCTTTATGTGACTGTAGTTGAATAATTTTTTTAATTTTTACACCTTTGCCGCGTGGTTTAAAATAGTTTATTTCCTCTTCCTTAGTGTAATTTGCGTGCATTGACTTTCATCAACGTCCGAGAAATAGGGTTAAACTCGCTGTGCTTTAAAACCTGATTTGGTACGTTGTAGGAATACTGACTAACTGACAAAATCAACGTACAACCTCACATGTAACTTCATTGGTTCAAGTTACCACACTTCACAGTAGTACACAAAGAACAAGTAAGCAGAGAAAGAGTGACATGTAAGTAGACAAAGTAGTGCGACCGAATAAACAGTTTGAAGCTTTAGAAGTGAATACATCCGCACTATTGTGACCATGTTTCAGCCATATCATCAATATTCCGCGACCACCAGCCCAGCTAAACAACTTAAATCGCCTCACATGACTCAGACCAACTGACACAGACTACATCGATTGGTACCACTTCTTCGTGTGGCACCCTGAACTTTCTTCCAACCTAATCCAACCTCCCCTAGTATGACACGTCGGGGTGGGCGGTGACTCAGCATGTGCAGTACCTGTCCGAGCTATTTCAGTCGACTAAGATTCACAACCTCATCAATCGACTTGCCTGCCTTGCCTAGTATCTTTTATCTGACTTCAACATTCCTCACACGGTGATTCCACCAAACACTAGCGATTCTATGAAGACATCTGTGATCAAACTCTTTTAATCGCTTCATGCCTTCTACTTCTAACGATCATGTCTCACATGTGTATAATAGGACAGAATGGACTGTAGCGCAGTATACTAGTCCTTTGACAGATGGACAGATATCTCGCCAGTCGGTTTTACAGTTGATGCAGCTTGGCAAATACAAAACAGGCCATCTCTAACTGAGCTGAGATTTCGTCAACAACGAAAAGCATTGCATTAATAGTACTAGTAATATTGGCAACGTGACATTCGGTTTGTACTCAGTTGTCAAACCTCGCCTGGTTAACTAGTTCACTAGTTACTAGCCGGTCCTAAGCCCGGGTAAAGAGGGAAGGTTGGGCATAGGACACACACTACCCCGTAAAACAAATGTAACCGCTAAACAAACTTCAAAGCACAAACAAAATATAAAAAATGAAAACAAACTTATTCCCCGCTGGAATCGGAGAGGCGAAATGACGCCAGTTGGTGAAAGCCTGCCTTCGGGAAGCCGATTGGCCGATGTGTCATCTCTCGATGAAAGCGAAAGTAAACGTGGGGACATGGAATGTCCGTACCACGTTTGAACCAAGCAAGGCAGCCCAGATTGCAAACGAGATGAGAAGGTATCACACTGAAGTGCTTGGGATTTGCGAAAGCAGGTGGAATGGGAGTGGACTCTCCAAACTGTCAACTTGAGAATCAATAATCTACTCTGATATTGTCACCCAGACGACAACCACGAGCACACTGAGGGAGTGGCTATCGTGATGTCCCCAAGAGCATCGAAGGCTCTCATGCAGTGGGAACCAATCTCCTCATGCAGGATCATGACAACGAGGTTCAACTCAAAAGGAAGGAAGGTCACAATCATACAATGTTATGCACCTACAAATAATGCAGAGCAAGAGAAAAAGAAGGAATTCTACAGACAACTTCAATCAACACTGGACAAGACGTCAGTTGGCGATATCAAAATTCTGATGGGCGACATGAATGCCAAACTGGGAGGGGACAACACGGGAAGAGAACTAACCATGGGTCGAGAGGCGCTAGGTGAAATGAATGAGAATGGAGAATTGTTTGCAGAATTCTGCGCATTCAACGATTTAGTGATTGGAGGCAGTGTGTTCAGACACAAAGATATCCACAAAGCGACATGGATTTCACCATTCATCAGATGGACACACTAAAAAT